GACCGTCGATTAGTATCCCCCCTTTTTCTCTGTTTAAAGTCTGACTCCCCAACCCCTTTATATATAGTAACTCTGCTATACATCATATTTGTCAACTGCATATAAGTGCAGCAAATATGGCTTTACATATTCAATTTGATCTGGAACTCCTACTTTTCTGTGCTTGGGAGTCCCAAGACTCCTTCTTTGTGTGAACCCTGCAACTGTTGGCACCAGTCGCACATATCTATAGACTTACGGCGCCCCCTGAAGACCATTTGAATAAGTTTAATATTAAAATTATATATAGCTGTGTTATGTTGGTCCCCGGAATAGTGCATATCAGATGCTCTTAGCTTATAATACAGCATTATTAATAACTTGTTACAGAGGTGACCCTTGATCTTTTAATTGTCAGACCTGTCAGATGCAGGTTAGCATAGTACAGCGGTGATTCAAAGGGAAAGGGTACATAATTAGCTGAATAGAACGCAGATTAGTATGAATACAGGTGCTACATGGTTAAATGACTACATACAAGAAATAAACAACACAATACCACATGCTGATAGTTTATTACAAAATGGTGTTTGCATTGATTGATTACAATCTTTGTTTAAGTATCATAGTTAAGCAAGCAACACATCTATATACTGATAAGACATTCTTCCAACCAAAAAAAAAAAAAAAATCCCTACCCTCCTAATTTTTTGTACCAATGTTTCCTGAACCAGACATATTTTTTATTTGGCCTTAATATCCTTTTGTGTCAGCTGAGCTAAAAATTATATATTACAATAGAGTATTAAAAATTTGTTGTGACATCATTTTTGTGATATGCAAAGTTGAAAGTTATATAACATAGTGTTAAAATTTAAAATGTTAGCATTACACATTTGAATTAAAAATGATTCTTTTCAACAGTAAACTGTTCTTATTTTGAATATATAATGTGATATATAAATATTATGTTTGTTATTATTATTCAATGCTACATTTATTGAATTCTTTGAAAGAAGCAATATTATACTGTCCAGAGGATCATTCATATGGTTACATCCAACCTGTTCAATGAAGTTAGTATAAAGTCTACACTCATTCAATAGTATCTATTCAGCTTTTCTAAAAGCTAATTATGTTATTTTTATTTTTAGATAAATTGTTTCATATAATTGTCAAATCGAAAGAATTAAGGTGGAAAATTAAATTTGCTGTCGATAAAATACATACAACAATAAGGAAACCCCTCAGTATCTCTAATCTACCGGTCCGCTCTCTATATATGTAAATTAGTAAAACGGACGATTCAATATCTCGGTTTTCTATTTTTAGAAATGAATATCACTGATATGCTTTAAATAGCTCTCTGGGAACTGAAGGCTAACAGTGATATGATGCACTTTTCCACGATAAATTTCTGAAATACTTATTTTGAAACAAGACAGACTTTTTTCCAACAAATAAAAGCTGAAGGCTGCTTTAAATTTATGTAGTATGAAGAAATTGAAATAATTTGCATGTTAAATTGCAAACAAGCTATGTGCATTATATTTATATCAATAATCCAATAGATCATGTTTCATTCTGTTTTCAGTATCAGTCTATTTCTTTAATGGTAGTGTTTCAAACACAGGTAGCACAAACCAATCAAACGTTGCCACATAGTCACATGGGGCAATCACATCTTCTCTATAGCTTTCAAGTACAGATCCAGTATGCTTGAAAAAGTTAGCCTTGTAGCCAGTGTCTATAATCCCATCAGGAACACCTGAGCAACAGTACTTAAAGTTCAATGCTAACCAAAGTATCAGAATTGTTGACTTACTCAGAATTACATCATTCCCTTGTTGGAATAGACTTAGTAAAGGTGTTTCAAGTAAAATGTCATTTTCACAGTCATAAAAAACAACAGCAATATGTGTTTTAGACATCACAACTGTAGGAATAAGGAAATTGTCCAATTCTGGATGTTTCTTCCTCATTAAGAATGAGTACACTATTGCTCCTGCTCTAATCTCATCTCTATAAGCACCCATTTTGATTTTTGTTGATCGGTTTCCTGCATCATCGGATTCTGGTTCCTCTGGCACTATTATCTTTACAGCAACATCTGTTAAAATGTCAACACGTCCATGCCAGTGGGAAGGAACACCTGGCCCCGTGTTCACAAAGATTTCAGGATCAGGATCAAGATCAGGATCATATTGAAAAACTCTAATATTCTTCATTTTTTATTGTCATATATTAAATATCTAATATTAATTTGATAAAACTGGACTTGCAATAGCAAATTAATGAAGTTTTAGAATAAATTTATTGTTATTTTTACAAGATACGGGCATTTTACAGTTGATCCAAATATTGATCCTGATCCTAAAACTGATCCTTATTTTGATCCAAATATTTTTGTATTTGTGTTGTTATTTTCTAATTTTATCCCAAAACAGTTTGATTTCTTTTCAAATCGGCAATTTTTTACATTTTTAATAATTATTATTTAATTCTAGCAAACCACAATAAATTTTAGTAACATAAAACAATGAAAATAAAATCAGGATCACTTGATCCTGATCCTGATCTTTTCTTTGTGAACACGGGGCCTGAATTTAAAGGTAAAATGATAAATTAACTCAATAACTTTAACAAATGTCTGATGATATAAGGTGAATACAGCTGTTATTTAGCTTGTGGTGTACTTAAAGCTACATGCCTCCAGATGCGTCAAAGTATTTCAAAAAAGTCAAACTAGTGAAAAATGGGTTAAGATGCAAGGAAAAGTAAAATGTTTCAAGACAAAGTAATATATTACATATTATGTGCCATTTAATGACTTAATTTTCAGTATTTACAACTATATTTCCACTGCGTTACTAATGGAGTAAAGGCTTTTCATGCATATTTTGACCATTTTTTGGTAATATACGTGTTTGTAAGTGTCATTTATTATGTGTAAATTGCTTCCTTTTGGTTACTTCACAAACTGCACATTCAAATACATTTTCAAAATGTTCATGAAAATAAGCATGAATCTGGAGGCATGCTGCTTTAACATAGATATTATTTTAAAACCAAGAAATCTTAACAACAAGTAGAGGTTGAGCATACATAAACATATTTGCTTGTCAATACAATGTATCCTGAAAATCTGAAACAAAATTGCACCTGACAATTTCTCATAAATTATACAGAAAAACAGAAAAAAATTTCAATACCAGATATAAATAGAACTTTACATACATAAAAACGTGAGAAGTGAAAATATCAACTAGAAATGTGTTGTCATGCCATGGATGCCCCCGCATGCAGCCATAAATTCAAATGATATAAAAATATTTAGTTCCAAATTTGTTTGCACAAATAATTTTTTTCATTCTAAGTTCAAAAACTTTCAACTATTCAATGTTAACACAAATCATATTTATACAAAGTTCAAGGCCATGAAAGTATTAAGTGTTAACCTGTTGCATATTCGAATTCCAAGCCGAGATAATGAATACATTGTTTTACATTACTTTAATATTGCTTTCTTTCATTTAAATCATAAAATAAATCTTAAACTTGTTGCAGCTAGAGCTGTCATCTACATCAACAATATCAATGTATCCTTGATATTTTTCTTTTGATGAATAATCAATACACATTTCAAATAATCAATTATTTTGACTAACTGAATAAATGAGCCGCGTCATGACAAAACCAACATAATGGGTTTGCGACCAGCATGGATCCAGACAAGCCTGCGCATCCGCGCATTCTGATCAGGATCCATGCTGTTCGCTTATGCCTAGGTCACAAATAAAACGGGCGCCGTCCGACTAAACGATTTTTATAAAATCGGCAGATTTTTTGATGTCGTGGACGCCGGGCGATTTTAAATCTGATACCTTGCGTGGTCATGAATTCAACAGTCGTCGGGCGATTTTTGCCGAGTGGATTTTACAGAAAGATTTGAACGGATCGGGCGGTCAGCGCCCGATGTCCGTACGGCGCCTGTGCGATTTAAAAGTGAATCGGACGGTTGCTGCGCGGGCGCCGGGCGACAATGACTTTACATTTAATGACATCCTAGATAAATCAGCCAGTTGTAATTATGCCAGCAAAGAAGTCAGCTGCCAAAGCGAAGGGGAGTCACCAACGGCCAGTATCGAGGCCGTAGAAGGCGAAAATCAATCAGACATTCGCATGGACATTGAAGAAAAAATTCATGTTTACTAGTATTCAAAAGAAAGTCACAAATATATTTTTGAGGCAATTAATGAAAACGATGACCGCCCGGTGCCTGTACATGAATCGTCCGGGTACCGGGCGATAATCGTTTGACTACTTGGCTCTATTCAGGCACCGGGCGGGGCCCGGCCGATGTCCGCCCGGACGCCTTTTAAATCGGACGCTGTTTTAGTAGAACAAAAAATCGCCCGATCAAAAAAACCATCGCCCGGTCGCCGCCTGGCGACCGAACGATGTCCGCTTGATGTTATTTATACTCAGTGACCCCAAAAATTATCGTCCGGCCGCCGTTAGCTTTTAAGTATTACTTAAAACTCGAAGGCGCCCGCCCGATGAGCAAAATTTTCAGCTGCTGCCGTCCGATAGTCACTGCCGCCGGACGGACGTCGGCCGATATTGCGATTTTTTGGAGAAACAGACGCCGCCCGGCGGCATTTTCTTATTTGTGACCTAGGCTTTACAAATCCTATAACAAGTAGAGAAACTGATAGCGAACAGCATGGATCCTGATCAGACTGCGTGGATAAATAGTAAAGAGGCCATGATTCAACAAAAAAAAAACTTGCAGTATTATATAAATTAAACTGCTATATCTGCGATAACACAGAAAAGCTGTTTATGATTTAAGAACATCAATTCTCACAATTACCATTCTATCTACCATTCTATCTAAGTATTATAATTAATAAATCTTATTTATAAGTTTTTAACATTCAATTTTTAAAAAAAAATAATCTTTTTTTTTTTCAAATAACCACCTTTTTTAGTGTATAATAAAGCCATGACAAATAACTAATATTGATATTTACCTAGTGATGTGTCTCCAAATGCACCATTTATCTTTTTATTACATCCACAAGGGCATGTGCGGTCCTTTTTCCAAGGTTCCTCTGTTGACTCACTGTCCAAGAGATAAGTTGAAGAAACAGTCAATTTTGACAGTAAATGATGAGCTACCATGACAGTCCATTCTGCTGCAGAAGCATCATAAGGTAGATGTGAGAGAGCTTCTACTGTTGAACCTATAACATGCAAGGAGACTTAATTACATACCAAACTAAAGTAAAATGCATTTAAACAGCTTTTTAACACACTGTTTTTGGTCTGTTTTGATTCGGTCATGTTTTCCTGATCATAATTTTCTTTCCCCTAATTGCAATGAGAAAATTCCCAATGGAACGAACAAGAAAGTGCACAAATGTAAAAAATTTAATAACCTCTGTCGAAAAATATGTGGGTATGATTAAGCTCAGCATAAAATGAACATTTGAGCCGCGTCATGACAAAACCAACACAATGGGTTTGCGACCAGCATGGATCCAGACCAGCCTGAGCATCCGCGCACTCTGATCAGGATCCATGCTGTTCGTTTACAAACTGTATAACATGTAGAGTAACTGATAGCGAACAACATGGATCCTGATCAGACTGTGCGAATGCGCAAGCTGGTCTGGATCCATGCTGGTCGCAAACCCATTATGTTGGTTTTGTCGTGACGCGGCTCATTTATCACCTGTGATAGCAGTAGTAGTAAGATCAATATTAAGTGTTGAACAAAAGGATCTGAGTGTATGACTTTCTATTCCACCCGTGTCAATCTAGGTAGCCTATTGGTTATTCAGCTTTAATCATACTAATACCAACATGCCATTCTTTAAATCTAAAGATATATCACAATCTTATCAAATTAATAATAATAACTGCAGGTACTGACTGTTATCAATGTATTCTATGTGTAAACAAAATTCCCTATAATACATTTTGCACATTATAACTATCAAAATTTTATAGCAAGATTTTCTGTAATGAGTAAGTCCACAGTGCCCAGGAACACCGATATAAATTTACAGTCTGGCGCTGAATTGATTCGACTTAGGCAGTCTTTCAATACCGGGGACCGTCGAAGACTGGAGACCGTTGATAGGTAAGTCCTAAGTTACATTTGGGAATATTCTGATACCATGCATTTAACTTTTGTCCAAAACCTCTAGCGGATGACAGATTAATTTTAGGTGACAAAAATGACAATACGCATGTATCTGAAAGGCAATTGAGTATCTTATTTTTTAAATAGATTTTGATATGCATATTTAAAATTAACAATTGCTTATTTTGTAAAATTAATTGCCTTAATACGCAAATACACATCTTAGCTGTTGCTCTGGCTTACAGAATTTTTGATAGCTGTGAAAACTCCATATCATGTAGTCTTAAAAAACTGGCAGTGCACTTGCTTATCTTTAAACAGTATTGTTTCAGTTTTTATCAATCGTTTAAATGTTAACAAAAAATTCTAAATGTGGGAGCGGTACTGGCTACTAGTAGTTTCGTACAAAAATTGTAGTTACTCAAGGACAATTTCTTAATACCCTCACTCACCAAAAATTTGATGGTTACAAATTAATATGGTACTATCCGCCATAACCGTTATCCCAACACATTCACATGCAAGTTTTCATTGTATTGCCAACTTATTTGTACACAGGTGAAAAAGCCTTTTCTCTATCTATCTTCCGGTAATGTCAAACCCCTTGTGGGGACGTATACATGTCTGTGTGTCAAAAATCGCAAGAAAGTTAAAAAGAGTTGTTTAAAAGAGGATAAAAGAATATTTAAAAATGTTCAAAACAGGGGCTGGAAAACTAGAATGAGACATGTTCGATGCAAGCTATGGCTGCACTAAATTGCTCTGGGGTAGGTAGTTGGGCAACTTCAAGGGATAGGTGGTTCCAGTGGTATACCGTCCTAGGAAAGAATGAGAGTTTATAATAGTCTGAAGTTGCTGTGAATAACCTATAACATAAGAAATGGCCATGGCGTGATACTCGGGAGGGATGTCAAATATTCTTAATCAGACCATGGTGAATCTTATAGAGAAGGGTTAACCTAGAATCTATATGTCCGAGTTCCAGTTTTCCAAGGTTAAGGGAGTAAAGCATGTCTGTGATGCTGCAGGTCAGACCATAGTCTAGCTTAATCCATTGGGCTGCTCTTCTTTGGACATTGTCGATTTGATTTGATGTATTTGAGTTTTGGTGTGGGGGAGACCATACTTCGGAACCATATAAAAGCTGGAGTCTGACTAACGTCTGGTAAGCGAGACTCAATGGATTTTATCACAATTTTACAGGATTAATATGGCAGCATTTTTTGCATATGACTGAAGTCTTGTCACCTTTTGACAACACCCAGGTGAAAGTGATTTTGAAGTCCTGTCACCTTTTGACAACACCCAGGCGAAAGTGATTTCAAATGAAACTTTTGTACCTAGGCTAATGCAGAACTGACACATAGATTTCTTTCTAGTTCAAGCATCTGTCTTGTTTTAATACCAATATTAAAAGAATGCAAGCAAAAATTAAGTGTTCATAAGAAAAAATATGGGTACCCTTTAATACGTGTCACAAGGTGACAAAAAATGTGCAGCCTTACTGGAAGTTTAACCCAGGACCTTAGAATACTTCTTCACAGCTCTACAGACTGAGCTATCTGGCAACATAGTAAGCTAGCTTTAATATTCACTTGTTCTGGCTACCAAAACTTTATAAGCCGCATTTTTGTTTTTCATCTGATGCGGCATTAAAGTTTTGGATAAGACCCGTTACGAAACCTAACCAGAATAACATTGTCATAAGTTTTAATCAATTCTTGTGCATTTTACGATAAAACAATTATTTAAATATCGTTCTATACCAATTAAAGTATAAAAATAATAATACCGTCATTAAAATTGCCTTAGTATTTAACTGCAAAACATCAATTACGCCGACTACAGTCAGCCATGACATTTAGGTGCCACGCGAGGCTTCGTATGACGTCATTCGCGGGAACCGATTAGAATAGAGTCGTGTACTATGTTAAGAACATCTTTGTTGACATGATTTCGATATTTTTATTCTAGGGCTGCGCATTGCCATTTTTTTTCTGTCACGATACATATAACGATATTTGTTTTTCAAGTATTGCATACTTTGAAAAAATGCGATGCATATTGCGATTCTTATGCAGAGCTCCAGATAGCGTGCGTAAAATACGCATAGAAAATCTAAAATGCGCATCACTTTCAAAATTTGTGCGTCAAAGTTACGCACAACAAAATGAAAATACGCTTGTATGTCAAAATTTAAGCGTGAAAGAATAGTTCTAGTGTAAACATTTGATATTTAGAAAGATGTTTTGAGCAAAAAAAATACAATTTATTTTATGCTTTTCAGTGGATTACTGATTTATCCGTGAAAATTATATTTGATAATTTCACAGTGAAAATTATAAAAATATAATTTCACACTTTTCAATGACGAAACTACTTTTTTTAGATTTTTCCCATGTGGTACCTCAATTTTATTTTTGTTAACAATTCTGACAATGTCAGGCTGTTTAAAGAAAACGCAAAGCTGAAATTGATAATCAACTTAAATGTCAAAAGTAATAAAAAGAAGAAAACTTACTTCTATTCATTCAAATTCCAATCACCAAATTTCATCTCTAAATTTTTTGTTTCATTTTTACAGTCTGACAAATACATTCCTTCCACATGTAAACTGCTCTTGATTACATTTGGGCACATTAAAGTATCCTACGAGCAATAACAATTTACTGCCGAATGCTTTATGAAAAATTGAAAAGCAATGACAGCTATCACCTCGTAGAACAATTAAACCACCCAGCGTTCCGAGCAAGTTCCAAGTTTTCCATTTTCATAGCTGCTTTTTTTCATGTTTTCACATCTGTCAACACTTATTTTTTGTCTGTTTCAATCCTCAAAATTTGTTTTCTTTCTTTTAAAAAGGTGTATGACTAACAAATCCAAATGATATCCCTCTGAATTAAACACAATTATTTTTCCTCCGTGAAATACACAACTTTAAAAAAATGGCTGCCGCTTACATTTAACAAAGCCAGGTCTAATATAAATACGCAGTAAGTAACAGAAATATGGATGGATGGTTGGAATTTTTCTCCTACAAGAATTGTTTGTTTTTATTATTAAAACAAGCGATCATTCATATTTTTTTAACAAAATAAATAATATCACTGTCATTTAAACGTTGATTGTCGGACTTATTTTACAGCTCAAGACTTCTTGTTTTTAATGAGAAATTCCGACTAAATGGGGCTCTCAATGGGGAAAACAGATTTTAATATTTACGTTAATATTATGGAAATTTCGTTTTAACTTGTTTTTTAGCATAAAATAAAAAGAAAATTTGTTTGTTTGTTGTGTAAGATTTAATTTTATTTCATCTCGTGAACTTTAAAAACAGTATTCTCACTCTTGGCTACGCCACTCGTGAGAATACTGTTTTAAAGCCCACTCGATGAAATAAAATTTCATCTTACACACAAACAAACAAATATCCTCTATATATTTCCATTTTATTGCATTGAAAACTAAAAATTCTGTTGTTAACAATGCATGTTAAAAACGAAAGTAGCAGGAAGTACAGAAGGGAGGTACATGTAACTCCCGTAGATTAAGCTGTGAAATTATTGATAAAACTTGTGCCAGATTATCATCGTAGGAGTTAACATAGTATAAAGGTTTTTTTGGCATCTATTGACATGCTTATGCCTCAATATAAACAAAAATATATTTTACTTTCTTTCACTTTTGTTGTTGGAACAAAATAACATGTTTTTCACCTGCAGTTTTGTACTCAATATTTTCGTACCCAGTCTACAGTAACGGACAATTTTCTCTCAGACCCATACTTTTTTAAGGAAAGATAAAAAAAATCTTGTTTTTTTAATTGTTCAAACTGGAGTGCATGATAAGGTACATGCCAACAGAAATAAAGAAAGAAAAATATTGACTCTTAAGAAATAAAATAATTTCAGGGCTTCCACTAGTGGAAGATTGGGAGTCATTTACTCCTTCATTTTGGCCTGTAACTTCCGAAAATCTTATACTTTACCTGCTTTACCTATATAATGTGACTTCCAACATCAGAGATTTTGAAGTCTTTGACTTCCAAATTTTGAAAATGGAAGCCCTGATAATTTTGATGTGTATCCTAAACTT